GCATCATATGAACGTTCATTGTGGTAGGCGAGGATTCGTTTTGCAGACTTGGCACATTGATATTTGGCGATCGTTGGGATCGGGAGGAGTTGGTGTTGCCAGGATGCGATTGCCCCAGCAAATGGGACAATTGTGGCTGCTGCGCTCCTGGATGCTGCTGCTGTTGCTGATGCTGTTGATGATGATGCGGGGGTTGGGGATGTGTGTGTGCATGGTGTGAATGTGGGTGTGGATGGTGTGCCTGAGAAAGGTGTTCACCACACTAGCGACAAAACATTGAAGATTAATTATGAATTCACATCCTCTGTAGTCATCACTACTTACATGTTGCTGCTGATATCCTCCCGCTGTGCCATTGCTAGATGTGTTCATTCTCATGGCCGCCGCAAGGTTGACAACGGCGGCCTGGACCGCTGCACTGGGCACGACAGCGGCACTATCGACGTTTCCTCCCTCTTGCTGTGGTCTTGAAGCCGCCACGGCGGCTGCCGCTGCCGCCATTAGGGACATCCTATTGGCCACATGCATTTCAGTGTCCATGGAGTCGATGTGTCCATATTGGCCATGATTGGCACTGGGCAATCGTCGCAGCTCAGTCATTTTGTTTAAATTTGAGTTAGAGTTATTATTGTTCAGACAATTCTCATTCTCACTCTGATCATGATCCTGATCTTGATCAGAGGCTGTGGAGGATGAGAGGCGTCCTGTTGAGGAGCATTCGGAATTGACCGATGGCGATGGGCACTTTGAATTGGAACCATCTGAGTGGCGGGAGGCGCCGCCAACTATCGGCAATAGGTTTCGGGATGGGTCTACTCCTCCGCTAATACCCAATCTTGCGGCAGTTCCGCCGGAGCCGCTGCTGGCCGCCAGGGTTGCCGCTAAGATAGAGTCACGCTCGCGCTGTTCAGCCGCTGCTCGAGACTAAAATAAATACATTTTTTAGAAACGCCTAAATGCGTTTTTATCCGAACACTTACCAAGACATATTGAGCCGCAAACTGATGCTTCGGATCCATACGCATCGATTCCATGTGGGTTAGTAGCCCTGAAAAAAAATATTATTTATTATTCTTTATACGCATCATCCCTCCAAGTGTTTGTACCGTTTTCATGGGTAAAGACCGCTTGACAAACGCTGCAGGGCCACATTCGCAGGGTGTTGGCCAGCTGAGAGGTCTCCGCGTGACAGGCTAAGTGTTTTCTTAAGGACCCCTCATTGACATAATGCTTGCCACACACTGGACACGGGTGGTTGGCTGTTCTCCGCTTGCCCAGGTAGCTATCTATTAGGTTGGAGCCACTGGAAGCTTGGACACAGGTTGATTCAGATGCTGCGCACTGCGGTTCCCCGCTGCTAACTCCAGTTCCAGTTCCATTCCCGCTTCCCGTCGTTGCCGTCTGATTGAGATCACTGAATTGATTTACGGCTAGGGAGTAGAAATATCACAGGAATGAAATACATTACATATGGGTGCAACTTCTCTGCTTCCAAAAAAAATGTTCATTCATCTAAAATATTTTATTTATAATTTTGAGGCAGCCAGAGTCGATCAAAAAAATTGTATTCTATGTCTACTTTGTTGTATATTTTTGTACCCTTGCAGCATATTATATATTTTTTATGATATTTTGACAGCTCGTGCTTGTTCATTGAGACATTTCATTCAATCTTTTAGGCTATACCCGTCTCACACACACTTTGATAAGCCGAAAAAGGGCTTATTTTTCCGACGGGACTACTTTGTATAATTGTATCATGATATTTTCTGTCCGTTCGTTTCTGTCGTCTGATTATTCTCAATTATTCTCAATAGTATATATGTCGGAGAACACATCGGGTCGGACGACTATTTAAAAAGTCTGTAATAGGATCAATTGAAAAATTTATAGAAAAAATTCCAAAATTTACAGGTTTTCAACATATGGATAATTTCTCAACCAATTTTTTTTTATTATAGTTACTTTAAGAAAGGCTTCATTTGTTCTAAAACAAATTTTGAAATATTTGAATGCGAACTCGAGCAAACACAATCAGGCCTGCTTCGGTAATCGTAAAATGTTTTTGATTTCGTTTTGGCCGTAATCGTACGATTTCGTTTTTAGCTGCTCCGGTTTTCGACAAATTTGACTGAAATTATAATACCCTGCAAGGGTATAATAAAAGGAAATATATAAAAGTTGTATATTTATGCATAGCATAGACAGACATGGCTAGATCGACTCGGCTGTTGATGGTGATCAAGAATACATATATATACGTAACTTTTGACTAAATCCTGATATTAACATAAGGAAAATTTGCTTTCGAAAAGTTTCGAGAGAAATTTCTAGTTTCGCTCGGGAACCAGTGTGAAAATTAGGAAAAAATAATCTGCGTATTCCCTTGACGACTGAATGATTGAAAATTTCGGCAACTGAAAACAGCTTATACAGGTTGCAAGGTTCCCGACGAATAATTATGTTATTTTTTTAATGATTAAGTATCAAAATGATAACTTTAGTTTTTATTTTATGTTGCTCAGATATTAAACAATAGGAAAACAACAAAAAGTTGTTAAAAAACTAGCTTCATTGCTGTTTTTTTCTAAGAAATTCATTTGAACTACAAAATTTCATGTCACAAAAGTATTCGTTTTTTTGTTTCGCCATTAAATATTTATTATTTTTTTATTGTGTTATATCTTATGTGCAATCCTTTGCTTTATTTAATAGCTTATAATCGTCCTTGCATTGGCTTTACCCATTTTGGGCACCTCTTTCAGGATATATTCGACTATTTCTTCCACATTATATCTTTAAGTTCCTTTTTCGGCAAAAATCCGCTGTTCCTGGAATTTTAGCTTAAGATGGTGTCATAGATTTTCAGTAGGGCTAACGTCTGGGCTCTGTGAAGGAGTTTTAGTCTGGTTTCAATAGTACAACACCCACATCTTGATTTTAAAAGTCGTTTGTTCGGCGCTATTGTACTGGTGGAAATTGAACTTGTCGGGTTCTGAACACATTAGGGTGCCACTAGAGTGTAAAATACACCTTAATATATTTAAATATATATCAGCAATTATTATCCTGTCTAAAAAAAAACATATTTCCAACTCCTGGGGCAGACAGACACCCTAAACTAGAACAGAAACTCTGACGTGCTTTACTGTTGCTGTATCATTTTTAAACTTGAGGGCTTTACCGGGCTTGCGGCAAACTATCCCTTCTTAATCCGATCCCTAAACATTGAAAACCTTTTTTACTTAATATTACTTGCCCTGAATACTCTAAAATTTGGTTCCAAAACGCTATATCAAAGAAAATAGCTTCGGCATATTGATAGGTGAAAACAAGGATTTTATTTTAGGGCTTCTACCATCCTCATCATGGCTTCTAGGAACTGTTCCGATAGTTTAAGTGGATACATTTGTTCCTTAGGATGTGGTCATGGCGGTGTTAATTTTTGCAGCCTATAAATGTATGCCTTTCCTGATTTTTTTAAAGAATTGTTCTATCTTCTCTGATTTTCAATTACTATATTCGGCCAAAACGCGGCTTATTTTCCAGGAAATTTCTTGATTTCAGTAGAAAAACCACGCTTATTATGGTAAGAGGACTATTATCAAACATACCAGAAATATATTTTAAGGATCAACCCTCATTGTGTAGGTGTAAAGTAATTTTCTTCTGGAAAATGTTTTGACTCCGTACTATTCGGCATTTTGTAATTGATTACGACCCACAATGACGCTTAAATGTTGTGTTTTTCCATGAATTAAATTTTAAAATGTATTCCCAACCAGAATACTGAAAAAAATTGCACTAACCCATGAAAAAAAGAAAAAATAATTTTAAAAAAATCTCAGAAACGAATACTTTTGTGAGCATAAAAATCGATTTAGTTTTATATATTTGTCTGTAGCTTGTTTTTGAAAAAGTTTTCTCTAAGTTTTTTTTTGTCATATGCTAAACAAAATATACATCTTTGGGATAGTAATCCATTTTTTCACATTTTGAAGCTTTTAGCTAGTGAAAGTTGACATTTTCCTCAAGACCTCCTTTGCAACGAATACTTTTGTGACTCACTGTACAATGTTTTCAGTCAATTATCGAATGAAATATCCACTTACTGGCTAAAAGGCCAGGGTGGCTAAAGAGTTCTCTAAATCAACGTCAAAAATCAGCTAAGTATCGCGATACATCATGTTTTTGTAATTATAAAATTTCTATGCTTTAGTAGGTATCAAAACTAATTTAAAGGTTTCTGCATGCGTGAATATTTCGACAATGAATCCAGAAATGCATAGTTATTGAAAGTTCTTCTTATTCCCTTCGATCGTTTTGTTTTAAATGAAGTTAGCTTCTTTCAGAAAATTGATCTTATGTTAGTACCAGGCTTAAAATTATATTAAGGGTATAGTATGAGCATGTTTTGTTTTGATACCAAAATTTTAAAATAGAGGAAATATGCTTTGTGATTTGCTATACACATGTTCTAATTTATCTAAAAAGTAAAAAGCAACCTAAAAAGTACGGTGACAAAAATGTCATATTGGCATATTAAGTGCAACAGGGATTAAAATTCAATTTAAAATTCAATTTTCGAAAAAAGTGACACACGTTTCAAATTCTAAAAAATATAAAAAAGCACATGTTTTTTTTTCTTTAACATATTCGATTTCAGAGAATTGCTCATATGTATATTCATCTACCTTACGAAATGTTTTTTTTTTTATCCGTCCGTCCGTCCGTCCGTCTGTCCGTTTCTACGCAAACTAGTCCCTCAGTTTTAAAGCTATCTGAATGAAACTTTGCATATAGTCTTCTATATACTCTCACTGCTATATATGTCGGAATGGGCCGGATAGGACGACTATATCATATAGCTGCCATACAAATGTTCAATAAATTTTTAGAAAAAAAATTATAACTTGGCTGTTTTTCAACATTTTTGCATCATCATGATATAGCCATTTTATATTATTACAGAATTTTGGTAAAAATTTTATGAAAATCGGACGACTATATCATATAGCTGCCATAGGAACGATCGGGAAATTAATAGGAAAAATACTATAACTTCGTTGTTTTTCAACGTTTTTTCATCTACTCCGGGATATAAGCTTGTTTTATTATTCTAGAATTTTGGTATAAATTTCATAAAAATCGGACAACTATATCATATAGCTGCCATATAAACCGATCGGTAGATGTAGAGAAAATGTAAAGCTAAGAATGCAAAACTGTAACTGTCAAACTGTAAACATAATAATATAGGTAAAATGTAATGAAATAATATCTGCAAGGGTATACAAACTTCGACGTGCCGAAGTTAGCTTCCTTTCTTGTTTTTAATCTGAAAATGAATAAAAAAAAAAATTAAATTCAATAATAATACAATATATGGTTTTTTTACTTGTTCAGAATTTAGGTTTTTATTTTATGAAAATCTAACGAGCGGAATGATAGATGGACATGGCTAGATCACTCCACTGTTAATGTAGGTTCGGCAATAAGATCATTTTTTATTTTTCCAGACTTTCACTTTTAGTTTTATGAAAATCGGACAACTATATCATAGGAATGATCGTTAGATGTATGTAGAGAAATATGTAAAGCTGTAACAGTGAAACTGTAATCTGTGAAATTGGTAAATATAGTTTAAAGTTAAAAATAATTTAAATTCTATTTAATATTTCAAATCTGAAATATTGTTATTTATACGATTTTAAAATAATGTTTTTGAAATGCTAATAATAATATTATGCTATGTATAAATTTTTTTTTTTGTATCTCCTGTTAGTTTTCGATCGATGGTTAATCATACAATTGAAAACTGCATGGGTATAAAGACTTCGGCGTGCCGAAGTTACCTTCCATTCTTGTTTTTATTATTTGTTGTAGTAGTTTTTTTTATATAAATAGTCAGTAATTAAAATGTCGCATTGAATACAGACTGATTTTGCTTCAGCAGATAAAGCTTTACGCCGATGGCATGCTCCTATTGTATTTACATAGGACAAAGATATTGCAAAATTTTACCTGATCCACTGGGTGGCGGGCTTTTATCTTTGTGAACGAGCTTCATGTGATCCACCAGGGCTTCCGTGCCCAGGAAGAGCTTGTGGCAAACGGGACAGGAGGTAGCATTGGGACCGCCAATGAGTGCCGCATGCTGCTGCAAGACACCAAGATGCAGCTGTAGCTCCTGTGCGGAAATTTGCGACGATGAGTCGAGGGGACACGATCAGGGTCGGGCAGGGTAAAGGATGTAATAGAAATAGGCAATGAAAAAATGAAATTTACTAGGTTACGACGACGACGTCTACTCACTTTTGATGTATGCGTGCGCAGGCTGGATTCCGTGGCGAATCCTTTGCCACATATATTGCAATGAAATGGACGATTTTTTGCCCTTTCCACTTGAGCGTCATGGTTGCGCAGATGTTGCTGAAGGTTTGAAAGCTGGATAAACGCGCGACCGCAGTCAGGCAAATGGCATTTGTAGGGTCTTTCTCCTAGAGGAATATAATTAATAATAAGTCATTTCTATTTATTTATAACAAAAATCGAGCTTGTCTTTCTAAATACATAAGGGGCATTATTTATTGACTGATTGACTAAATTCTTAATTAAAGTGAATGAAACGAAGCAAGTTCCCCTTGCCAACGGGGACTTATTTCTTTTGGTCACGTTGGAGCATCCTAGACTGTTAAAGCTAAATTAATTTCATTTGAACGCGCTGAGAAATTAAATAAGAAGGGCAAGTGGCTGGTGCACCAGAAGGACCTGAGATTTTAAGCTACTTAGAGTCACTTTACAATCTAAGTAGGTAACATTAAATACAAATAAATAGTCACAAAGTGCAGCCGTGTAGACGTAAATGCTGAGGTCTCAGGAGTCTCATCAGCACAGACCGATACTCAACCCACAAGCTATTTTAGACTATCTGCTGTTTCGCACCTTGGAAGTCACGTAGTTAGACCGCCTAAACACCACTTCATTTGACCTGTCGTTCCTGTTAAGGGCCCTGAAAAATAAAGTGTGGGCAGCGATGCAGCGTTGCTCCGCTTAATGGGCTTTTGCTAACCATTTATCCACACCACAACGGTAGCTACACTGAAAGGGAATATTAACAAAGCCTCTCAATAAGACTTTCAACAGCAGCAGTCTTGTACTTATCATCTAGACAGTTTGTCGTAATTTGACATTTCTTTGGCAATATATATAGAAAGTGTGGGAGCAAAACTATACATATTTAGATTTCTTTCAACTATTTAACTTTTGTTCCGGTGTACCGTTTAATAAAACCGGGCGCCGCCGAGACATCGCGCAGTTAAGTATAATTACCAGATTCAACACTTTCTTTGCAAAGCGAAAAGGGTAACCTGGTAAGGGTAACGTAACCCCCTGCCGTCCACGAAAAAAGTAAAGCATGCAAACTGGTTTTCAATTAAAGTGTATTTGATTTCTTGTTTAGTCTTGATTTCAAAAAGGAAGAAAAGAAAGAAAAAAAGATGTTAACTTCGGCAAGCCGAAGTTCATGTACCCTTGAAGTTATACCTATTGGTATATTGGAGTTATTACTCTTGGCAGCTGTTACTCGAGTTAAAACAAAAATTAAAACTTATATCAAATATATTTTTTGTTAGGTCACAATATCTCCTTCACTGCGTTGCAAACTCTTCGTAAAATCATAATACCCTCTGTATGAAAACATAAAGGAAAAAATAAGTAAATAGCAATTGTTGAAACTGCAATCAGGTGTGAATAAAAGCTCGAATCCGGATAGGGAGTTAAATTACATTGAATGCAGCTAATGACGTTGAATAATTTCTCATATCCCATCATCCTTTCATCCCTTTCATCAGGAACCCAAAGTGAAGAATCGTAAAGGCAACCGCCACGAACCCGCGGAAAGCACTCCAAAAGGTTATTTAATTATCTTCGTCATTGGCATTTTCTTTGCCAGCTGTGAATGCAAAAATAGAAACGTGCAAATGTAAAAAAAAAAAAAAAAATTAAAAAAAAAAAATCTGAAAGGAAGATTACTTTGCACGCCTAAGATGTATACCCTTGCAGCTTAAATCGGATAATTAAGAATCTATTTTAAACTAACAGGATACATATAAAGTATATAACATATAAAGTATATGATAAAATAATATAAAGTATATAATAATATTTTGTTTTTGATACAATTTAAGAAACATTATTTTTAAATGGTATAAAATTACTATATAGTAAATTTTAAATATTTAATGTAATACAAATAATATTTACATATAAGCCGAAAAAAACAAAGTAATGCCAAAATGTATATTTATATCTTTATTTACCGTTAATAACCATAATTATTGACCATATATAAAAATATGAAAATTTGTTAAAAACTGGCAAAGTGTTTTTTTCTACATTTTTTTTTAATCGTTCCGATAGTAGCTATATGAAAAATCCGTCCAATCCCTTTCCCACTTATATATGTAATAGTGGCACTACTCAGAAGACAATTTCTAAAGTTTTACTTAGATAGATCGAAGACTGAGATACTAGTTTGTGCAGAAACGGTCCGAAGAACACACGGAAATGGCTAGATCGATTCGGATGTTGGTGCTGATCAGCATCATATATACTTTAAAGGGTCGAAACTTCAGTTTCTCCTTCAGTGCGTTGCAAACTTCCGACTAATTTTATAATACCCTGCAAGGGTATATTATAATATATATACATACCAACATATATATGTATTATAAAAAGGCAAATGAGAATGGCGACAAAATTATAAGAAATAGAAGAAGGAAAAAGATGAGACCCCGGGATAAACACGGAGAAATTGACATTTGAATCTAGGGAAGTGGCCAGCCGTCGTAGTTTTTAATTAATCAAGAAGAGGAGTCCTAAACCCAAGAGCATTTTTCCACAAAGCTGGGGTAATTAAAACAAGAAAGAAATCTATCTTTGGCATGCCGAAGATTGTATGCCCTTGCAGTTTGTAATTGTGTCATTAGGAATTGACCGATTTTCGTAAAATTAATTGGTTTTATTACTATTTGGTTTTTTCGTAGAGGAGAATTTTTAAGAAATAAAAAGCAAAGTATAAACAACAAAATAATACGGTTTTGAAAATAGTTCAAAAACATTATTTTTAAATCGTTTGAAATATCTATATAATAGATTTTAAATACCTAATATAATACACATTATAAAGATATACACTACAAAATATGAAGTAATATCAACTTTAATTACATTAACCTATTGTGGTGTACTTAGATAGATCGAAAACGAAGGGACTAGTTTGCGTTGAAACGGACAGACGGACATTGCTATATGGACTCGGCGGTTGATGCTGATCAAGAATATATATACTTTACTCCTTCACTGCGTTGCAAACTTCTGACTGTAATTGCAATACCCTGCAAGGGATTAAAAAGGGAATAACCCACGACAATCTGAAGAGTTTAGCAAACAGCAATGCTAGAAGTGCACGGAAACGAGTCTCTGTATACTCTACGTTACACTAACCTGGTAAGCACAAGCCAGGAAGTCCTTGGGGGCAGCCGACACCCCTAGCTGACTATTACATTTACAAAAAGGAAAAAAACTGCTAGCTGTCTACTACACTATACAGCTTTAAATTTTCTCTACATCTACTGATCTTTCCTGTATAGTCGACCGATATTCATAAAATAAAAAAAAATCTAGAAAAAGACAATGGGTTTGTCTAAAGGTGGATGACGATAATTTCTTTTCTAACATTTTTTTAATCATTTAATCAATCAGAGGAGTATCTGCAAAGTTTCATTCAGAGTGAGGGACTATTTTGCGTAGAAGCGGACAGACCGACAGACGGACGGAGAGACTGAATGGACAGACGGACATGGCTACATCGGCTCGGCTGTTGATGCTGAATATACATATATGTATACTTTGTAGGGTCCGAAATGACTCTCTCACTGGGTTCAACTTCCGCTTAAAATTTAATAGACTACACTCTTAATTCACTGTTTTTAATATAATATTTTTGATTTTACTATAATTTCATAGATTTTAATATACTTTCACAATTTCACCAACATTTCATCAGCAATATTCATCAGATATTCATTACATTTTAATCAAGCCTTTTTTTAAAGAGAGAAAATGATAGCGCGAGAGATTGTGTTTGAAAAATATTGCCGAATAAGACACGATGATGAGACGTTGATGACATATGGTACTGCAGGGGAGGTTGACATAAAAATCGTAAGCCGAACCGAAATAGAAAGGAGAGGATATGTCAATATATATATAGCTATAACTCTAAATGATATTAAGTTATTTCGCGGGGCAGTACTTTACCTGTGTGCAGACGTGTATGCTGCTGGACATGCGACAACTGCTTAAATCTACGATCACAGTAGGAACACTTGTAGGGCTTTTCGCCGGTATGGACACGAATGTGCTGGACGAGCTGGTGGTTGCTGGAGAAGCTTTTCATGCACTGCTGGCACTGATGTGGCTTGGTGTCCGTCCCAAGGCCTGGCGTAATGCTGCCACCCAAATTAGATGTCCCAGTTCCGCCGCCACCCAAACCGACGCGTGGTATCTGCTGTTGGATCTGTTGCATGGCGCTCTTGTGCATGAAGAGCTGAAAACAGAAAATGTTAAGATTTGTATGATGATTGTCAACAATAATAATAGTAATAATCACTCAACCTCAACGCCTCAAGAACTCCATTAATACTGCCCGCGCGCCTTATATTAAAGCTTGCATTTATAGACTTGTTTATCAACTCAACATTTTTTGCCGTATAATTTTTTGTTTGGGTTTTATTTATGATTAAAAATGTGTACCTTTGCATGTCTTACAAGTGTTACACTATCAGCATAAAAGCGAAAAAAATCGGACTATATTAAATGTATATAAACCATTATATAAATGATCTTGTTTGCGTGCAAGGTCACCACACAGTATTGCTGATTTCGTAAAAAAAAAAAAATATTGGGGTCAATACCAAAACCATAGCCGTATGTAGTACACAAATAATTAATATAGACGGATCGAACTACTCAAAAATAGTTTCCTTTAGTTTGTATAGATTTTTTATACAACGTAACTTTTAAAAGTATTTAAGATTATATTTTTTGGAGAGTTGTTCTAGTTTTCACTTTGAAAAGTCCGGACTCGAATTTCAATCTCCTAATGTGCGTTTGCTTTGTGCGCTTTGCCGCCTGAGGCCTAATGGAATTTGGCCCGCTGTAGTCTCCCACCTACGGACATTAATTGAATATAAATAAACAATATAAAAGGTTTTCTATTGCAGTCGGCTGTTTTGGTAGCTCACTTTCGACTTTTTCGTTCGGAAACTAAAACGGAGACGGTGGACTCGCAATAATGTGGAAGGTAAGAATCGATTGCTTAAAATTTGCTAACCCAATTAGGCAATAGCGTGCTTGAAACACCAACGAATAATCATTGAACATTTGCTATCTATTTGCTACGTTTATGCTATGGAGTACATAAAATATAGAATGAATTCAATTAAAATGGGTCACGAAAAGTTAGTGTAGTCAGCTGTTTATTAATGAATATATTGAACATTTCGATTATTTTGTCCGCCTTCATCGGGTCATAATAGCCCAGCGTCCACACTATCTCTATTTACTCCACGTCTACTTTAAGTTAATTTAGCTTTATAACAGCAATTAGCTAACTTGCCTACTTATGTATCTCTCGACGCCACACAATTTTCATAGCCAAAATTCGGATGTTTCCGAGTAAATGAAAAGGTGTTTCTGCAGATACTTTTTTCGGACTTAAATAAAGTAATCGGTGGACATGCCCATATATTGCATATCCGCCGATTACTTTATTTACTTTATTGCTTTATATATATATTATTATATATTTATATATATATGTATATATATATTATTACATATTTATATATCTTGTTAACATTTCGCATTCAATAAATATTACTTTTTTGGGATAAATGTTATTGCAAAGATAAAATTGAGTTAAACCTGTTTTTTTAAGCAAATATAAAATTATTTATAAAATATTTAATAATAAAAAAATACCATTAAAGTTAAAGTTTAAAATTTAAGCTATTTCATTAGAATATTCCGTCCCAATTCGCATATTTTTTAATTTTACTGGATTAAGCCAAAGTCGACTTTCCGACCGCATGGTTTTTGTCAATATTATGAAAATTAAAACTCAATAAACCCCATCATTTACATTTTATATAGTAATTTGTAGTTAAAACTAAGACTGCGTTATAGAGTCGATAGTACGATCAAATGGATTTATATTTTGAATAAATGAATATTTTAAATTAATGAATAGGAATATTCGAAAATTTATATAGTTTGTAATTTTAATTTTTTTATTTGTTGACGTTACTATCTTCACAAAATGTGATATATTAATATACATATATATATATATATATATATATATATATATAAATGAATAATTATATGACATGTAGTCGAAGAAACACGCCCCACTATGCTGCTGTCTGAAATGTTTTTTTTTTATATACAAATCCCATTTGCTGGCTGCTGGCCGTTCGCTGTTGGCTGATTCTGGACATAACCATCCGCCTTTTGGGCCTCTTAAGTCTGCGTTTTTGCTTATGCGGCGATTAAAAGTGTGCAAGGGGAAAGTGCAGAAAAAATAAAACAGCAAAGCAAGTCTAAAAAAATTTCATTCTTCTCCCGGCCAAATAACCGAATGACCGTCGCTACTGCCAGTTGGAAACAAACACTATAACCGGATTTCGGGGCTCCTCGCCAACCAACCAGAGAGAACCAGGATGAAATCAGTTTTTGTTCTTTTTTACCCGATAGTACACTTGAAAAAAAAGGCTATAAATATATTACTTGTGTTTGAATTTTTAAATAAATTGATCATTTTTAAATTGGGATCTAGTGTGTTTACCAAGTAGAAAACTACTAATTAATCGATTTAAGAAATCGAAATGTAAACAATAAGGAAAATAGTGCATTGCTTACTATTTATTTTTAATTTGTGAACTGTCATAATTTGTTGGGTAACATATTGTTTGAGTAAATAAAAACTCAAACTATTATTTTTTTTTTTTTTTTTGTAATATGGCAAATTCTGAATAGGGAAAAATATTGAAACGAAATACCCGATATGATGGCAATAATATCGCGGTTAAATTATCTCATTTAAGGCTAAACCTATTTTAAATATTCTAATAATATATCGTAAATTATTACGACCTCCGCGACAAATTTCAATAAAATATTGGTATATCAGTATTTTTTGACTTGGCCAAAAGTTTGAAATAGTAAAAAACTGTCCTCCCTAATAAATAATTCCTTCCAAAAGAAAGTCAGTCGACTCAACAGGAGAGGGAGAAAGAGCGAGAAAATTAGAGAGAGACATGACGGGGAGAGAGAAAGAGAACGACAAGATGGGACGGACATAGGGATAGAGAGAAGCAGAAAAAATTCAAGATAAAGTTGCATTTTTCGTTTTACTTACGTTGCGTTTCAGTTTTCAACTTCAATTCATTCCGTATTCATTTTTATTTTATTTTTTTCAATTACACGTTTATGTACCATTACTTCCCCCCCTGCAAAAATACCGACCCCTAACGCACCAGAAATTGAAAAAAGGGATGGACTTAAGTCCAGGGGACGACGGTCCTTTCTTTCACTCTATCTTAGGGGTAGCGTAGCGCAGAGAAGGCGGTAACCATCGCTTCTTTTCGTTCTCAGTCACACGCTGAGGTGAGTGGTGGAGAGGTGAGGGATATAGTGAAATAAAAATGGTTGAAAAAAAAATGTGTAGGGGTGGACAACAAATGGGTATAAGCATTGCTAGGTACAAGTTCCTGCCTTCTTTGAGTAGAAGTATAGAAATATGGATAAATAAGTACTTTGTGCTTAGAAAAATTCGGTGGAGGGTCAACGAGGAGTTTTTCTCTGATGTACAATTCCTTCAGGAATCTGATTTATGGAGCAGTTGCCTAGTAGTACACCTACTTTCATATGTTTACGCCAATCGGGTAATAAAAACTTAATAGCGAATCACAGGGACAAAATTTATTTTCAATAATTCGAATACGGATCGATTGCGATTGAATGATACCTTGCTAAGAGAATATTTATATAATTATCCAGAAATAATCAAAAAGGCTAAGAAATAGGTTAGAAATGTATAGATATATCGATTGACATATCATATATCATATATATGTCGTTGTTGTTTTCATCGCTTGCATTTACAAACATGTTACGATAGTTCCGCTCACGGCTTTCTCCAGTTAAAGAAACAAAAGGATAAGAGATATTTATTGTAATCATAAAATAAGAAACAAGACTCACGTTCTAACGAAAATATAATATATTCTTTTGTTTGGCCTGAGTTTTATACATTTCATAAATTAGGGAAACTAAGAGTAATTTACAACTAAAAGCTAAATTAAAAGTAAAACAAGCTCAGCAAAAAGAGAGGCGAGGATCTCGACTGACTCTGCTGCTGATCTAGTTTCAGTTCCACTCACAACCAAGTTTTACTGACTATTATCACGTGTGTGCTTATGAGTGTGCTCTGGCTGTGGCTGTATATGTGTGCAATATGTGTGTTTTGACGAGGGAAGAGTACTATACACAACGGAACAGATGCCAACTCACTCGTTGCAGGGTTGACCAACATTCTTCAAGGGTGCGTTCACTGATCGCGGCAGCGCTGCTCGACCGAGATAGCTGAAGCTGAAAAAAGAACCAATGGAAATTTGTACATATCATATATTAATCGTGTCGTAATAAAAGTTTGTTAGCTCCACATTAGAACGGTTAATAGATAAGAAACAACGTCTACAGTCCTGTAAATGTAATCCTGTCAAACTACTAAAGCCAGTGAAAATAATAAGAAAAAAAACTTTAAAAGTTTAAATATGTGGCCTTGCCGTGGGGGTGACCACAGCGTTAAAATGTAATGTATTTAGTACATATGCCACACTTAAATCTATTAAATAGACCGCAGACTTTAAAGGGTTTTAAAGATCTTTTACTTATACATATATTGAATATTTGGGTTGTTAAGGCAGCACAACACATATGAACATGATAATAAATAATAGTATTATTTTTTATAAAAAGTGTCATAAAATTTTTTTGGTTTTCTAATGACTTGGCAATTCTATATATTTTTATATTCCTTGTTGAAACATCGCATTGAAATAGGTAGCAATGGTGACTTCTAATTGGCGAAAGTCTATACTGTTGTATACTTCATTTTAGAATATTTTTTTGCCCACATTAAATTCCGTGTCCTTCGGCAAGTTGTCTGCGTGACCCTTAGACAATGTTAGGACATGATTTTAATTTGTTTCTTGAGCTTAAACAACGGAATGCTTTGGAGGCTCTATCTTTTTCCTCACAAGTTCAAATAAATAAATATAATTGAGTTGCCGAAACATCTTCCTTGCAAATATATGTGTTTGTGAGATTTTAAACCCTATATCAGATTGAAGGCGGAAATTCGACTTAGACCTATTTTAATTAAAAATAACAAACAAAACATCGCAAATAATTGGTAACTTCTTTTCTGCTTTGCTAAAAATTAAGCATGAACAATTACATCGTGGTCCTTTTCACAGTCAAGTGTCATTTTGTATTAACCATAAACGTTTTATTTGAGAAATAGCCGATCGTTTAACGAAACAAAACGAAGCGGAACGGAACGAATACAACACTGTTGTATTTTGAACATTTAATCTTTTTTATACCCTTGCAGGGTATTATAATTTCAGTCAGAAGTTTGCAACGCAGTGAAGGAGACGTTTCCGACCCTATAAAGTATATATATTCTTGATCAGCATCAACAGCCGAGTCGATCTAGCCATGTCCGTCTGTCCGTCTGTCTGTCTGTCCGTCTGTCCGTCTGTCTGTCTGTCCGTCTGTCCGTCTGTCTGTCTGTCTGTTTCTACGCAAACTAGTCCCTCAGTTTTAAAGCTATCTGAATGAAACTTTGCATATAGTCTTCTATATGCTCTCACTGCTATATATGTCGGAACGGGCCGGATCGGACGACTATATCATATAGCTGCCATACAAATGTTCGATATATTTGTAGAAAAAAAATTATAACTTGGCTGTTTTTCAATATTTTTGCATCATTTTTGAGATATAGCCATTTTATATTATTCCAGAATTTTGGTAAAAATTTTATGAAAATCGGACGACTATATGATATAGCTGCCATAGGAACGATCGAGAAATTAATAGAAATAAAATTATAGCTTCGTTGTTTTTCAACGCATTTTTATTTACTCTGAGATATACGTTTTTTTTATTATTCTAGAATTTTGGTATAAATTTCATAAAAATCGGACAACTATATCTTATAGCTGCCATAGAAGCGATCGGTAAATGTATAAAATATATAAAGCTGAGAATGTAAAACTGTAACTGTCAAACTGTAAACATAATAAGTATAGGTAAAATGTAATGAAACTCTGTTTTGTGAGTGTTTTCAGCATTTAAATCTATAAAATAAACATCAAAACCAATCTGCAAGGGTATACAAACTTCGGCGTGCCGAAGTTAGCTTCCTTTCTTGTTTTTTATTATTATTTTCGACGACTACGATGGATTCTTGAAAACTCAAGTCTCGCGGCACTTTTTAGAGACGTCGAACTCGCATGATGGGCTTCTCCTCTTATTTTATGGTTATATCAAGGATGTAACCGTGGTACATATTTATATCAATTGATGGTTGATAATTTTTGGAACGCGATTGCGACTAATTTTTCACGGATTCCCGTGCCATCGCGACCACATTATTTGAAGAACTTTGCTTTGGTTATTTTTTAGAAAACGCGAGCGAGGAGAACACAACCTGACGGTCTGATGTCCTTTGAACTTCTGCCGGTGCCCCGGTGTGCGTTTATTATCAGCAAACGGGACACTGCGTTCATGAAAAGGGTTCTTCTTAAAACTATCCTGTTTGTTGCTGCGTCGTCGCCGTCGTCGTCGTCGTCGTCGTCGCCGCTGCCCACTGAGGGTCGGGCTTCTAATTCGGCGTCTCTTTTCTCTACGCGGTATTATTATTGTTTTCCTTGAAGAAGAAGTTGTAAAAAGCGGCAAGAAAAAGCTTCCAGAAAAGAAATAAAACATCTTGCGCTCAGCTCTCTCTCTTTTCTCTTTTTTGCTGCGACAGCGGCAGGCCTTACGTCTGGCGTTTGGGGTTTTGTATGCCACTCCATCTCAGCATACAGCATACTCAGCAACACCCAAGCCCACACACAGAAGACGAGGACGAAGGCAACGATTGTTAATAGAAACGAAACCCGGCAAGTAACCCCTTCAAGAAAAAGTACAGCAAAGTAAAAGAAGGATAAGACTCTCTGCCTTCTCCGCCCTGCTCATTAAGTGGCGCTTTCTCGCTCTGTCAATGGCTATTCCCACTTCTACAATCCCCTGCATCCTCAGTCATTTCCTATTGCCCCTCAATTTATTCTATTTACCCTTGCACTTTCCTTTTTCTCTTTCTAAGCGAACGAAAAAATGGAAAGAGAGCCCAGTGGCCAACAAAATCTCTTTCCCTCAATTTTTTTGTGCTAAAAACGAGCCCGAAGAGCGCGCGCTTACGCACTTATTTACCCCTTTGCAACAAAGCTTTTTAATTTCCCTGCGCGGAAAGAGGGGTTGTCTCAGGTACTTAATAAGTATTTGTGTGGTTTTCGTGGTGTTTAGATCAAAACTTTCAGAGACAACACTAAAAAGAGCTCATACTTGGCCGAAGAGAGAACATTTCGAGCGATATAGGTATCCCTCCGGACATTCCTGTCGAAATATCAGTGGTCAAAAGTTCGCATTATACTTTTCGCATGAAATTTAAGAAAGAAACAATTTTCAAGGACGTTTTTAATAAACGTGAGCTTGCCTTGTTCATTGGAACAGCATATGAGTCTATATCGTGAATTCCAGACTCTGGAGTCTCCCGCAATGCTTGCTGGATGTTTAAATCTGATCTGAACCAATTTAATACTGTGGTTGGAACTTAGCAAGAAAGCAAAAAATTAAAAACAGTAACGAAAATTATACAGATTGAACTTATGCTTGGATGTGTCCGGCCAAGGTCTTATATGTTTATACATTTTTTTTTTGTAAATAGAAATATGGAAAGCATTAGGTGAAGATTACCTGAATGTCGTTGGCCATTTTGTCCTTGTTAAATTTCATTTCAGGCGTCGAACTGCCGCCGGAGGGCGTTGTTGAATGCTGCGGCGACTGCTGCTGGTGACTACTGCTGATGATCGTCGCCGGACCAGACTCTGATCCCGGACCGCAGACCGAGGCCGCACCAGCTGCTCCGCAATCTTCCCCTCCTGGCGACAGAGTGGCTTTGCTGCCGAGTTCTGGCTGCGCTTGAGGACATCCTCTGCCTGCCATTGCCACACTCGGCTGCGACTGCGACTCTGCATCGATGGTGGAGCCCACACTAGCCGGTGTTTCCGTGGCCCCCGTTCCTTTATCATCATAGAAATCGCCGGCATATGTCAGCTGCTGATGGCAATCATTCAAGGACTGCTGTCGGCTTGGCTTGGAATCGACCTCCAGCTTCGGTTTGATCCCGCACAAGCCATAGTTCTGCTTCTGATCTCTCAGCGGTGACGATAGATTGTTCTGCATGGCAGCAGTGGACTTCAGATGAGCCGCGGCCGCAGCAGCGGCAGCCGCATTGAATAGCAAGTGATGGTTGCTCAGTTGGGGAGCTGGATTTTGGCCGCCATAGGACTGCTGGTGTTCCGCTTGTGGCATGTGCTGTTGCAAGCTATGGTGATGATGATGGCTGGTGTCGGGCTTCTTCGGCGGATCCTGGCCGGGCTCGGAGTCACTTCCTGCAGCAGTCCCGTCTTGGGGATGAATGCCCGACAACAGATCGTTTTCTTCCTGCGGGATTATGGTCGAGTGCATGATGTGATGGGGATGGGAAGTGCTCTGGTTGGAGTTGTACTGATGCAATGCTGTTTGCAAGCCGAACGGAGCACGAGCCTGCTGCCAAAAATCAGCGGCATCCATATTTAAATGTGGATTGGGTTTGGGTTCGAGTCGAGATCGGGGTCGGGCTCGAAATCGGGATCGTGATTAAAGGAAGAGATGTCTCGAACTCAAATCCGGCTGAACTCAGATCTTTGGGCGCTGCCGGCGCAGTCCAACTGGTTCCTTGGGGGCCTGGTAACTACAGCATCCTTATATCCTTAATTTCATAATTCCGTGACAGGGCCCCCTGTAATGTAAGTTATTTACGTGTAAAGCTGTGTTCAAACATGCTGAGAACTAAGAAAACAAAATTTGGAAGGAAATAAATCCAATAAAAATCCAATCAATAAAAGCAGTTTAATATCAATAAGTTGTGCCATCAAATGTCTGTAATAAGACTTCTTGGAAGCTTATCCGATTAGTATAATTTTTACATAGGCTTTTGAATTCCAATTTAAATTAGTTTAATATCAATAAGTTGTGCCATCAAATGTCTGTAATAAGACTTCTTGGAAGCTTATCCGATTAGTATAATTTTTACATAGGCTTTTGAATTCCTTCTTTCAGAATTTAATTCCAGTTCAGAGATTTAGTGGTCAGCAAAAACTTTTTTGTAGGAATTTTAATAAATTTTCTTTATATATATTTATATTGTGAACATATTTCCAATACAAATTCGTGGGGATTATTTTTGTATAAGTTGTCTGTGCTAGAAATAGCCTGTGTCGCTTATCACGTAAATAAAGCTCTAGTCTTTCAGTTCTACGCTCTGAATGAAACTTTGAAAATAGTCTTCTGACTATTCTCACTAATCTATAAGTCGTAACGACTATATAGCTGCCACAAAAACATCTAGAAAAACAAAAAACAAGAAAGGAAGTTACCTTCGGCACGCCGAAGTTTTTATACCTCTGCAGTTTGCCAGGGATCATTTAGGATCGATCCATTCTGGTTAAGGTTAGGAAAGAAAATATACAAAAGTTGTATATGTATTTAAACATATGTTCATAGGCTTTATCGAATAAAATAAAATTTAAAAATGAAATTTTAGATATACCTATTACATTTACAGTTTGACAGTTACAATTTTACACAAAATGCAAAATAACCATATCTCAAAGAAGGTATCGAAAATTTGTCGATAATTTCAATGGGAGCTATATGATATAGTTGTCCGATCCGGCCCGTTCCGACTGATGTAGCAGTGAGAGTAGTCAGAAGACTAGATGCACATTTCAATGATATACGGTAAGACGAACAATTCTAGACTTGGCTGTTGATGCTGATCAGGAATATATACTCTTAATGGGGTCAGAAATGCCTCCTTCATTGTAATACCCTGCAAGAGTATAATGATAACTATGCGGGCTTTGATAATATTTTAGGCTACTCTGAGACGTAACCATTTTGTATCATTTTAGAATATCGCTTTTAATTGTTTAAAAATAAGACGAGCATATCTTATAGCTGTCATAGAAACGATCGGTACATGTAGGAAAAAGTAGAAAAAACTAATAATAACCTAAATTTACTTTGTTCGTTTTTGCAGCATATGTATATATTAATAATAAATCTAAACTCGATTTAAGAATAATGTTTTTTTTTTAAATTTTATTAAAACCTAATTTTTTTATGTTATGTATAAATACATATATTCCCAATGATCAAATTACAAACTGCAAGGGTATTCAACGGCGCTACGAAGGAAACTTCCATTATTATTTTTATTTTATTTTCATCAAAGCCGAACGACAATGTCCTTTATATAACTGTCACAGAACTCACTGTCAATGTAAGGCACAAAAATATTATTTTAAGTTGTTGGAATATGCCTGAATGTACCAGCTCTCCTATTCGAATTATTATTATATTTTTTTTTTATTTTATATTATTATTTATATTTTGATTTTTATCATTATTATAATTATTATTATTGTTATTGTTCTTTTTGTTTTTATTAAAATTATTAATACTCGAAATTTTACGACTTTATTGTCCACTAAAATGTTTATATATCTATTCAATTTTGTTTTCCGATTTTTAGCGCATGAAAAACTTTCGTGGATTTACGTTCACTGCAGAATTAATTTGATCGATTCACGTTATAATCGAGTTCAGTTTTAAAGAGTTCTGAAATACAGTGCAAGGTATTTTGCTAGATTTTAAAACCCTTGCAGGTCGGGTAAAGGATTACCTTTTCCCTTGAAAGTGGATATAACAATTCCAACAAGTCTTGCACTTTTAATTGGTAAATTATATCGGATTCATGGCTAGTGTTCACTGCCCAAGAGTCTATATAAAATAAGCAGAATTGTTGAAACGAACTTTTGAGAACAGCTGAGATTATTTCAAAGTGTTTGGTTGCCAGTTACCAACTAAAAGATAACCTGGCGGCACGCGAGTCATAGAAAAACTAATTTTGCCGCCGCCACCGACCAAGTATAAATAAGACGATGACTGTTGCTGGGGTTCAGATAGTAGTATGTCTCGCGTTTAGAAATAGAAAACTTGTACACAAAAGCCGGAGTCGAAGACATTGCCACATCGCCCATCGTCGTCAACGTCCTCGTTGGCGCGGCGCAAAGTAAGCCAAACGTCTTCGTTTTCCTGACCTCAGCCGTTAGGACCTTCGGCACAAAATATATCCTTCGTCGACGTCTTCGTCGCCCTCTTCGTGTCGGGTCCACCAAGCATCCTTGCCCATGCTCAGTACTCGAGGATGTTATTGTTCTCTCTTTTAACTCGCTCTTAGTTGGCGAAAATACTAAATGCATGGCACCCATGAAGCGAAATCGAAATAAGCCCATACGTTGAGCTGCGATCTCGGCGCACAGAAGATGGAAACATATCCTCTAGAACCTTATATCCAACTTGATACGTATTAAAATGTGGCAAAAAATAATGCTGTTTGAGTCCTGTACACACGAGAAAGAAGGATATTATACCTAAGAGCTAACAGAGAATGTATGTAAGCAGCGGAACAGAGCACCTCTGAACTTTGAGTATATATTTTACCAATCAACCAGCCGATTAAATTTAGCCGTGTCCGTCTACCTGTTCGTCCGTGTGGAGCAACAGATTCAGAGACTATAGCCCAATCGACTTTTAATTTAATGTACAAATGTTTGCGTACTGTTTTTTTTTACTATCGATTAAGCTCAACTGTATCTTTCTATTTGTCTTTGTCTATGGTCTATGTCGAAAATCGTAAGTTCTAAGAACGGAGTTGGGCTTATGTAGATTTACCCAGATCGTCATGTGTACGATATACATATATATTGACCGATCATCAGAGTCATGTATAATCAGAAAATGCATCACTGGAATAAGCACACAAGTTTTATTTAACCAACATATTTTAGCCATAATTTAAACCTTAAATTGTGTAAAAAAAATTTAAAACTTGCATTAAGATCTTAAAATTTTAGTACAGAAGCCAGTGTAAAAATTTAAAGCTAATTTCGGAGTCGTTTCCGGTAAATCTAGATTTCCAATTGTTTACTTTTGCAAGAGTACACGAATAAGATGTAAAGTATATGACAAACAAGTTTAAAGTTTTAAGAATTAGTATTTCATAAATCAAATAAAATATTTACCTGGAAAATCCATAAGGATCCTGGGGAAAACTTATGACGGCGGCATACCTTCTTTGTATTTTGTTTTCAACCCTTACTTACTACCACCGGGTGATCTTCAATTGCTGTTTATTTTGTATTTCTTTTTATAAATAGATTTTGCATGAGTTTGAAACATAAGGCCGGAATAAGGCACACGGTTACGGTGTCGCGAAATATTTCATTATTCGCCTAAAATGTTCTCGGTGTAACGACCAAAATTACAAAATCATTTGTTTTTCTATTCGGATTCCAGTTAGTTTAGTTTATAATTAAATTTTACAATCACAATTTGTTACCCGATAACTTCTGCTTATGTTTTATGCACCTCGAACATTTGTTGTTTTTTCTTTTATATACAACTTTTTCGTTCTTTTCAATACTTGTTTAATTATGGATATAAAAATATAATTTTGATGTAATAGTTTCTTCAAATGCGGCGTAGAACCGATCTCCATGTACATACATATGTCAAGTCTATCTCCCCTTGTTTTATCGTTTATAAGTAATATTTTCGTGACTTTTCTGATAATATGATATAATGGTTGGGTATTATATTTCTATATGATTATTTAATATAGTTGTATTTATTAATCTCTTCTATGGTTTTAATTGATTTTACGAAAACTATTACTAAACGCTAGTGTCCTCTGGAGTTGATTTGTTGATTAGGGATGTGCCAATGCTAGCTGTAGGGTATGTGGTATTCGTATTTCAAACTGTTTGTTCCGGTGTCAGTGTGTCGAGTGAAAGCATTCAATTGCCGTATGTTGTTGCTGTGTGAGAATTGCGTTTTACAGTTAGTTTTATTTCCAAAAATTCTTATGATGTGATTAATGCCAAGTCAGCTAGCTATTTTCGTAGATACAAAGGTTATGTACAAAAAGAATATTAGTTACGTAGTAATGCTGATTCCTTGCAAGTAACATTCAAGTATATCCTTTTAGTTGGTTGGTTTTTCATCTATGTTCTTCCTTATTTTGTTCTTTTTGTTTTGTACTTTTGATTTCAATTTTGCAACGTTTTATAAGGTTGTTTTTATTCTCTCGTTTTCGTTAGGTGAACGCTGTATTTATGATGGCTTTTGAAGGTTTGGCGTTTTTCGTTGGTCGTGTTTTGTTTTTTTCTTTTTTTGTTGATTTAATTGTTTAGTTATTATATAAATTTTATTAGTTAATTACTGTTGATGAGTACATAAATCAGAGAATTAATTGTATCTGTTCTATTGCTTATAAAACTGAAATATGGTTGAGTTGTTGGATTGATTTGATCTCTTAATACGGCTATTAGTATTATTATTTCTTTGAAAAACGTTCTTTGGTCTATTGTTTTTGTTAAAATTATGATGATCTGTAAGTAAAATAAAAGAAATTATATATATGCAAATGTAATATACATACATATATTATATATGTATATATAAAAATTTGAAAATGAACCACAATTATGACGTATTAGTTATAGTTTTCTTAATGCACTGTAGCTTAACACGATTGATATATATTTATGCACACATTTGATAAATAAAAACGCTGCGCGAGGGTCAGGACGATCCGCAGTCTGCTGTTCTACTCCATGGAATATTGCGTCTGTGAATGCCAAAGTGCCGCATTCGAAAAAATAATTCGAGAAT